TGGCCCTGTGCTGTCACTACTGGGGTCTCCATAGAAACCAGCTGCAGTGACATAGGCAGGGGCTCCTAAGAAACGGAGTCCGGCCATTGGCAAGATCTGCCATTTTGCCCACCCCTGTGCTAAAACCTAAGGAGTGCTTACAGAGCGTACACAATCTGACATTTCAAAGGCTCATGTGACTTGGTCATATTTGGGTAGATTTTCATGGGATTTTTGTCCTTGCTGAGCTTCCTTGCTCAAAAACATTATTGTACTATAGCTGTTTAAAGACAATGTCACTAGCTTCACTCTTGGAAATAGCCAGACATTTCTAAAACATTTGATCTGACAGACACCCAACATGGCAAATTTCAACTCAAAAGGCTGAAGTCTGGCAAAGTTATTAATGACTTACAAAGAGAAATGCCAGGCAGGTCTAATAATAAGCAGAGCTATCACACTTCCTATAATTACACAAGAGAACTTTGTTCTTATTTTAAACACTCTGCATGAAAAGAAGTGAAGAGGGGACTGACATCTAAAAAAATATGTTTTCTTTTTTCTATTTTCACTGTAAATTGCCATGTTTTCAAAGACCTGGGTTTCTATAAGTTTAACTTCAAAGAAAAAAATCAAAATTTAACATTCCTAAAACAAGACATATATAGAAATCTAACATGTGTGTTCAATTTTTTACCATACCTTTACTAGTCGTGCATGGACAACAGTCGGTTTCCTGCATTGTTTTAGTTAGCCTTACACAAAGCAAAGGGGGAAGAAAAACTTTTTTTTTTTTGCTTAATGAAAAGATTGTAAAAACAAAAATGTACAAGGACTCAGGGGCCTATAGGGAAGTATCTGTTATTACTTTTACTCAACTTAAAAGCTCATTGAATTTAATACATTCAGTGTTCCTTTAAATATTAGAATCATAGAAAATTAGGATTGAAAGGACCTCAGGAGTTCATCTAGTCCAACCCCCTGCTCAAAGCAGGACCAGCCCTAACTAGATTATCCCACTCAAGGTTTATCTAGCCAAGCCTTAAAAACCGCTAAAGATGGAGATTCCACCACCTCTCTGGGTAACCTGTTACAGTGCTTAACTACCCTCCTGGTGAGAAAGTTTTTCCTAATATCCAACTTAACTTCCCTTGCTGCAACTTCAGACCATTGCATCTTGTTCTGTCATCTACCACCACTGAGAACAGTCTAGTTCAGGGGCGGGCAATTATTTCAGGCAGAGGGCCGCTTACCCAGTTTTGGCAGGCTGTGGAGGGCCGCATGGGTAGCCCTGCCCCTTGACAGGTGCCCCACCCCCTGGTCACCATTTTGGGACCAACATACCAGGGCCAGCATCAGTGGGGGCCAAAGCAAGGCACAGGCTGGCAGGGGTCTGTGAAGCCAGGCTGGGCTGCACCAGCAGGGAGAGGGGGGAGCTGGCCCCGGCTCCATAGAGCCCCTGTCAAGCTAGGACCCCACGCTCCTGCCGCCTGCTCTGGGCTCTTCTGGAACTGGCCCCAGGACACCGGTGCAGGCCCTGTGCTCTTGCTGGCTCCCACACCTGCTCACTCCCAGTGCCCCCCAGCCCCGCGGTACAGGGGAGGGGGGGAGGGGCAGTGCACAGCCCCGACCCCCTGCTTGCCAGCAGGGAAGCAGCTGGTACTGAGTGCGGGGAAAAGCGGCCCCTCACCTGCTCCATGGCCGGCACTCCTTGCTGCAGGTGCTCGCAGCCCACGCGGGGCTGTCTAGAGCAGGCACAGGCAGCTCCACGCAGGCTGCAAGTGTCTACAGTGTTGGGCACTGGCCACAGGGTGAGCGAGGGGCCACTTTTCCCCGCGCTCCGCACCAGCTTGTAACCTGCCCCCGCTGCCAGCCTGAGCCCCACACCGGCTCCAGGCTCACCCGTCAGGGCTGCGTGTGGTGGCAGCAGCTGCAGCTCCCCTGCTTGCTGCGTCGGGCAGTGTTGGCTGCTGCTGCCCGCGTGGGGCCGGGTTACAAGCTGGTGTTGAGTGCAGGGGGGAAAAGCGGCCTCTCGCTCTCCCTGTGCCTGACGCCCCATGCTGCAGCTGCTTGCAGCCCACCTGGTGCTGCCTGCACCTGCTCCAGACAGCCCCGCTCAGGCTACGAGCGGCTGCAGGCGG